ATTAAGCGTTTGGAGACCTACCGATGACGTCATACAGTCACTGACCGAGGGAACGCGTTTGAGAATATACCACGTRATGGCATCGGGTTCAAGGTACTCATCAATAAACCGATAGCATTGCTTGCCAAACMTATGACAGTGCGGTGTTAACTTGAAAAACCATTGTTGAATTCAAATACTACTGAAATCAACTTTGAATTTGGTAAAAAGTTTGCCCTTTCCAATTTAAGTTTTGCAAACAAAAATACTTTATAACTTATATAAATGCGTTAAAACTTCTATAAAGTTTTTAGTAACATGATTTATTTCAAGCTTGCAACACAAGGGGCGACCGTATGGACRTTTACGTTTGGGTGTGGTTACATATTTCGCGTTTCCTGCTTCCTTATTGGCTAAATTAATAACAAATGCATATTTTCCCTTATATGAAGTTCATATAATTTAGGCTGCATGACATATATGGTTCTCTAATTGTTCATTTGGTTTTATTCAGATATCGCCAAGGAATGCCATCACTACAGGTGTGTCTTCTCATTATCCGACATGAGCATTATCGCTATCATCTCCCATTACGCGCACTATGATCCACACATTGCTTCTACTGCCCTAGCATCCTCCGCAGACATCACTAAGAATCACGGGCTTCCTGTCTTTTTTGGGAGTCAAAAGAGGGAGGATCGTCACTAGTCCCTAGCGGCCAAGATGATGTGGAATAAAGAGTTGCCTGGGGAGGAGGTTACTACTGCCCATGCAAAACCATGAGCTTCATTACTAACTTTGAATTAAACAAAGAAAACACCTTTGTTTGCGATAAAACATGGTTGTAAATCAATTTTCAAAACAAAATTAGTTATAAACTGTAGATTGTGTGGTGTTTCCTTTCAGCTTTCTTCAACGCGCAACACTTGTTACAAAGGCATGGATAGTGATCCAAGTGTCTCGGAAGGCTTATACACCATAAGGAAGGTGCTTTGATAGATCATTCTTGTCTTTTACCAATACCCCCTTACGTTTTGTTTAAACACAATCTGATAAYACGTGAATTCATAACAAAATTCTTATCAAAAATCTTATCATTCAATGACAATGACAATGATTCCCTGGATAKTATCACCCATATCATTCAATATATTACCCTTATCTTAAGTAGACTGAATTTTGTTTTTGTTTCTCTTGCAGATAACTAGTTTTGATGACCTTCAATCTGGATGCTTTGCATTGTACTCTGAAGTAGACGTAGTTGGTTGTGTGGTCCATGTCGTTTCACACAACAAGTAAGACAAACCCCATAGGTCGAACACTAACTGTCATTCGGTTTTTAGACTTTTTTATTTTATTTTATTTTTTTTTTGGGGGGGGGGGGGGGGTTAATCAAAATTTCGAACTTCTTTACTCGGTGAACCCGGGACATTCACAGATGGTTGTTTTTTGGACTTAATTCGGTTTTGACGGAGGAGTCTCGAAAACAGTTCGGGGAATTTCGGAGTCCTGATTGACGGCAACAAAAACACAAAATAGCGGTTCATATTGTCCGTCCATTGGAGCTCGCATATTTGCGAAAATGATTAAAGATTTGAGCTTACTTACTATGTAGGCATTTATTACAAATAGGGAGAGAATGAAATAAGGATGACCGAATGGTGTTGTGTGCATTTTGTATTGTATGTAATAGATGACACTGTGTACATCTCAGCAGTGGAAATAATGGGTAAACAAATACAAATTATTATCGAAAGTCTTGATGWTATTGTCTACTGTAAATGGGTTTTCATATGAACTGTCTTTCAATGGTGCATTCATAATTATCTCTGGAATCACTTTTTGTAGGCGCATATCAAAATCTGCACGAGGATTAAGTCGCGAAGAAATCGAGTATGCTCTAGCTCATTATAAGCTTAGCTAAATACTACATAACAAACAAGCATTTATAATACAACTATAANTAAACATAGTTGTTAGCCAATCAGAACGTGCATTATACATCAAATAATTTATAATACAGTATGCTATATATGGCATTACATTTAGCTCTTATTTTTTCCAAGAGTCCTCAAGACCTTGATGAGAGTGGGACCACAGCACTCCACAAAGCTGCAGCGAATGGTCATCTTGAAGTGCTCAAGCTGCTAGTTGAACAGGGAAGTGATGTCAATAAGACTGACATCACAGGATGCTCACCTCTTCATGCTGCGTCACGCAATGGTCACATGTCTTGTGTTAAGTTCCTGGTGGAACATGGAGCTGACTTTAAGCTGAAGTCCATCAAAGGCAATACACCTATGGTGGTTGCCAAAGCCAATTCACAACAGAAGGTAGCAGAGTATCTCTCTACATGTGGTACGTTGAATAAATACAGTCAATTCTGAAAAAGCTGCCAAGATATAACAGGGTCTGTGCCGGTCCTTAAATCCTTGAAAAATGCTTGAATTGAAAACTCGTTTTCAAGGGCACTTGAAACTCCTTAAAAATTTGAAACTTTCGAAAAAGTCCTTGAAAACTCCTTGAAAAAGATAGATCTCTATCACGAAGCGCGAGAGATCTCTGAATTATTCAGTTCGGCTAAAGTTGTGATGTAAGAATGTACAATTAGCATGATTATGATGTTCCTTGAAAATACAATATTGGTCCTTGAAAAGTCCTTAAATTTCGTTTTTGATACTCTGCACGGACCCTGTATAACTAAGGCAACAACAAAGCCAAAGTCAACACAGTTGAATTCATAGCAAAAAAACACTGCCTTATTTGAAAACAGATTCTCCTGCACAAAGACCTGTTTTTTTTTGTTTTTTTTTTGGTCATGGCATTTTTGTTTTTAAATAGTTCTAAATCCCTTCAAAACCATACACAGCAATGTTAAATAACATCAACAACACATGATATTAAGGTAAAATGTATTTTATTAAAAAACAATTTTGAATCCCATATATTCACTGTAAAATTCAAATGCTCTGCTTGGGTTGCATGTGCCTGACCAAACACAAAAGAGAGCACGAGAAAATGTCGTTATTGCAAAAGCCTTGAAAAATTGTATTTTCCCTGAGTTGAAACTAATTAACCCTGATTTCCCATTAGACCTAAGGTATGAGCATTCTGAAAATACAGGGTTAGCCTCAACTTGGGAAAATGTAAATTGTAATAATGACATTTTCTTTTGTCTTTGGTCAAGTTCTTTGCGTAAGAGAATCTGCTGTCAGATAAAACAGCGGTTATTTGCTTTGAATTTGAAAATGGAGCATTGCTATTTTTAATCGTTCATAGCAATACTTAATATCAAGCTGTAAAATTCTTAGATTCTCATTTCAGTGCAGATAGTGTTAAATCTTAAGTTTGAACATTCATTTAAACCTCAATGATGCCCCGTTATTTGGTTAATAGAAGGGTCTCTTAGCAATTTTGAATTTGAAAATGGAGTATTGCTATTTTTAATCTTTCATAGCAATACTTAATATCAAGCTGTAAAATTCTTAGATTCTCATTTCAGTGCAGATAGTGTTAAATCTTAAGTTTGAACATTCATTTAATCCCCAATGATGCCCCGTTACTTGGTTAACAGAAGTGTCTCTTAACAATAAAGGAGAAAAGGAAGAAATCTCCAAGTGCAGTCGTCATTATATCTAATTATATTTGTTTTTGCGTCATTATTTTCAGATAGAGAAAAGTATGCATGGGAAGTACAGTGAAACCAATTTCCAAGAAATTACTATAATCAAMGATAGTTTATTTAATGGCTGTTGTTTTGGCTGYCRAACTTCTAAAMCCACTTTCAGCATGTACTGCTTATCCTTACAATRTTWKGAAAAYAAGTATTTCGTTAGGTTTTCCTATGCAAGAAACCTGTAAGAACAAAGCTGTTAGAAGGATAGGTTRTTTTGATKATTGTTTGAAAATCTAATGAAACACAATAATGGGCTTTCAATAACTTCTCAAGTTAATTATGGGCAACTGATGGAGAAAAAAATAGTAATTTTATGCAGTTAATTGCTCGAACACCTCTTAGAACCTAAATACCTAGTGATATTTTTCTTTTACTTCATCCTCAGTAAATATTCATGAATAATGGTATCTTAGTATTGTTTCAACAAATTTCAAAAGAAAATCAAATGCATAGGCATTATCCACATCCCACATCAAATTCTCTGATTTTTAGTTTTTTCTGGTTTGCTCTTTGTTAGCCTCAAAACTGTGTCATATAATCTTGTGTATCAGTGATATCATTGTCACTATCAAAGCTGGTGGATAAAGCTCAATGTTTTCAGTTCATTTGAGAACTCATTTGAAATGACATAAACTTTACTATTTTTACATAGCTAAAAGACACAAGAGAGTTTATTATTAAGTTTATTATATTATTGAAAAATTATATTATTATCAACCTGTTCTTGGGAAAATTAGTCCAGAAATTCATTATGTATTCATTTACAGCCTTATCTTATGACTAGTAACTAACTACAAAAAAATAAGGGTGTTTGTACTTGGACTACTTGGTGGAATGAAGTTGTGTAATGTATTGAGATCTGTGTGTACTGAGATACCCATGTTATTGTGTAAGAAGCAAGATGGCAGATAATTCTGTCAGTTTACTGAACCATCTGTTATAGTTAGACACTACATTGTGGGTCAGCCTTGGACCATCACCTTAATRACCAGTAYAATTTACAGAGTTTATAAAGCTATTCAAGAGTGAGACTAAAAACACCATTAAGGTGTTTTAGACATTATCTAAAATGCTCTTGTTTCACCAGTATTTTCACTCACTAAGACAGCAGGTGATATTGTAACCGAATCTATTCAAAATAAAATTACTGCAAACCATTGAACACTTACAGTTATAATACTTCAAAATGGAAGGACTTTTTTAAGAAAAAAAGTCTACATGGTTCTTTCTCTATATCTTGATATGAAATGATTTAACAATTTAGATCTTTTAAGAAAAAAATGTTATGTAAAATAATGGATACACAGCAAAAGCTTTTTCATAATACTCAAAACATTTTCCAAATTCTACTGTGTCATGAAAAGTGAAATTTTTACACTTTTCATCATCTAGATTATGGWGCCTTAGTGGCACATAAGGACTCCACACTCATTCTCTATTCTTTCCTATTAGCTGTCAAAACCATCAAGGGCTGCTGTAAACAAATTCATTAAATTGCTATTCTAATGTTTACTATAATTCTAACAATCCTACAATAACTACTTTTATTTACTTGGTTTAATAGTTGAAAATAACTTTTTCCTTTCTCAAAAATATGCTATATACCCATAAACAGTCTTTCAGTTTGTCTCAGAAAGCCTTTCTCAAATGAACTTTCTGAAAATCTTGCAACACTATGTCTAGCATTGTGACAGATAACACTCCTTTCTTCTGGAGAAAGATGAATAATTGTTTCCATTGCATCAGCATAACTCTTAACATCGCTGGCTAAAAATCCTGTGGGTTTCCCATCCCATTCTATAACGATATCCATTCTAGGGCCCCCTGAATCATGAGCAAGCATGATGCACCCCCCTGCCATACACTCCACCACTCCAATGCCAAAATGCTCATTCCACATTGTATGAAGGCCAATTGTGGCATTAGAAATGTAGTTTTTAAGTTCCTCAAAAGACACATTCAATGCGAATTGAACATTCTCTCTTATGCCTATATCTTGAGCCAATTCTCTCARCKCGTCAACRCGATCTGCATCACCTTGGTCTCTGCAGCTCCCAATAAGTACCAGCTTGTATTTCTTTCTTTCATCTTTAGTTTTCCGTAACAAGAATTCTGCAAATGCCTTGATTTGTAGYGGATGGTCTTTCTCTGGTCTAAACTGTGCTATTGACATTATGTAATGCTGTTGGTCTCCTTTGTGAAGATTGATTGGTATTTCCTGGAATGACTTGGTATCGCATGGTGGGTATACAATATATGTCTTACTGGTATTCCTCCATATTGATACAATGTGTTTGAAAGTCCAGGTAGAGTTTACCATCACKACGTCAGAACAYCTTCCTGCCAGGCCATAAATTACRGCAAACATATAGTAATATAACAACTTGACGGCACTGAGAACACGACTATTACTAATAAACGATGCATTGTTATATGTTGCCGACTTGCGACCAACAAGTTCAAGCATGTCAGTACTTATAGTAGGATAATGCACATAGCAACCAACTTGGCAACCACCGATGTATTTAAATAGAGGAAGGGTAAAAGCATATCCCATGGTATCTATATATATATCTGGTAAATAGCTGGTCAAGGCCTCCCATCCAAGGATCRCYGATCCAAAACTTTGTCCAAGGAGGGTAAAGAAAGGATACATAGCAGCTTCWACCCAACGCCTTTTCTTTAAGTAGACAAATTCCACGGGTCCTGGTAGAGATATGTTRAACCTAGTGCGCGCTTTTTCGAGGATTTCTGAACCTTTGGCGTCTTGGTCGCCCGTGTATACAAGACATCTSACAAAGTTGTATCTYTGTTGAATGGCGCGTATTCCTATCCATAAAACACGTTCGCCTCCACCACCAGCATTGCAATATGGATGGAAAAAGCCYACAACGACTGGTTTGATGTTGGTTTGTCGAGAGYCGACTTCTCGAAGATGTGGCAACAATGAACTCGTCTTTCTCTTGACGTACAGGCGAAGAAGCACTACTAACATATAAAACACACTCAAAACGRATAGAAATATCAGAAGGACATATGATATCCAGAATGCAACCCTTTTGAGGTTAAATTCGATCATTTTGAAAATGTAAGACTTATAAAAKATCAAAAAGTGAAGAGAAGTGGAGAATTTATGGGRAAGACCGCTGACTTAAAGAAGATCTARTGTCCAGTCACCTTCGGCCGTTTTACCACAGGRATCTCRGATTTACTAATATTTTTGCGGRGAGACCTRCGTAGCACGCAGTTGATGTAATGTATTCATAAAATGTATTGTATTCCATTGTTTCTCATTCTATTGTATTATGTGTTTTGTATTATATCTTTATGAATATATTACATCAACTGAGTGCTACGTANTATCAAGGTCGTGCAATTTCCTATACATATACTCGTAAAGGCCCCCTCGCAACTAAAATCGTACGTGTAAACAGCCTTGCGATTGTTGCGAGGATCGAAAATCGCCGCGAAGTTGCAGCCTATTTTCAAGCATGTTCGAAACTCAGGCGATTGTCGCTCGACGATCGCCGCGAGAATCGCTCTGCAAGATTCGCAAGTGTAAACGGGACTTAAAACCTCCCATTTTTACAGATGCTACTTTTATTAGATACTACGGGCCACACACTTTTGTGGTATCACCGCGGTAAATGGTACTAACGTAACGGTAACGTTGTCATAGAGAAATAGAACATTTTTGTTATTTCTAAAAATCCGAAGAAGGATTAACGTCCGGAACGTCAGTAAGTTGTTTCACCTATTTTTTTTATTTTTTACGGTGTTAGAATTTATCTTTTACTCAACTGTTTCTTTAGAAACTGACCGACGCAGCTCACACTAGTTAACCGCTAGCTGCACTATTTCTAAATGGCGTCACTATTTCTAAATGGTTTTGTCTCTTCCATTTGTATCAGTGAGAACTTTTCTTTTATTCTCTACTTGCGCATACCCATAATACCTTCTGATTTTGGGGGGTAGTTATTGTTATTTAAATCATTTATATTTGAATAACAATTAATTTCATTTGCATCACAAAACCTACCCCCCAAAATCAGAAGGTATTATGGGTAATGTGAAAGTAGAGAATTCAGGCTATAGCATTGTCCGTTGCTGTAGACTAGCTTTACTAGACGTACTTACAGGAAATATACGGATCAGTTTGGTACACGTCTCAAGAAGGGAAGTTTCTACACAATCGATTAGGCAAATATCAGTTTCCACAGTCAATAAAACCACAAATGTCCATTTAGTGACAGCGAAACAAGTTAGAAAAATGTCAGGGATGAAGTCTCACTGCGATGAATCAGAGTCTGTGAATACAATTTTTATCACTTTTATCCTAACTTCGGTTGATCTTACATCTGAAATTAGAAGTTCATGAAATGAAGACTATTGGATTGTTTCAGATAGTGGTAATGTGTCTCTTGGTAGTCCATTATGGACAAACAGCACTGCGCCGAGTAGACAAGGGAAATTGGCTGCACGTTGTTGCAAATAGCAATCGACCAAATTNATAGTCATGCACTGCAACTCACTTCGCAACATGCAACGAAGATAATTGCAAGGCAAGCTTACGTTAGATTGCGTTGTGCCCCCCCCCCCCCCCCCCCCCTTAAAATCGCAGACCGCTAGTATTGGCGGCTAAAGAACCCTTACCTCTCTTACAGGATATGAATGCAYTGATATCCAGTTCTCAAAGGCAGCTTGATCAAATGCGTCGCCGACCTGTACCATCAACGACGATATCAAATAATTCACTTCTTGGAAATCGTACTCCACAACAGGTAGGTGTCTGGTCAAACAGTATATAAATGGATGGGACTGTTGGTGGGATACAGGTAGCGTGATCTCAAGTTTCGAAAAGTCGTCTCAAGCTCGTGCCCAGATTCTCTCGGATTTGAGGCGCGCCACCTTAAAAACCAGAAGGGAAGTGGGCCTGGGAAAGTTGTTCCCCGACGACTTGTTAGATCAAATAGCCAGTCACATTACTAGCTAGAGCACATCGTGATGACATCACGGTATTAGCTCATGATGGGAAACAGAAGAGAAATTGACGAAAACCGATCTGCGTTCGACAAAACTGAGGAATGGTCGACATCCTGAGGGCGACTAACATGAGAAGCAGCTGCAAGCAGCTTTCAGTGCCATCAAACGTCMTTACAGAAAAATTGCATATAATTAGTTTTATTTTTTTTATTTTTTTCACTAATTTTTAATATTATAATATTTGCCCCACCCTTGTTGCTCAAATTGCTATTCTTCATTCGCTTGAGAAAWAACTCTTCTTATATTTGAATAATAGAGTCATTATTATGCATATTATTTTCACTTTTTGTTTTTCGCATGTTTATTCATTTTTTGTCTGGTCCAGCTTACCATATGTCTCAAACTTGTAAGAGATAATTATTTTGTCCTATATTGCTTTTTATCCTGTGATATACACTAATACTATGTCAAAATATGATAACATTCTTATTTGAAAGTTAAGAATAAGATACCACTCGTAACGTCTTGTAAAAATGTCACTAATGACACAAAATGTTTCCGTGGAAATGGTTGTTATATAGGGATCGTGCTGTAGTGTACTGCATTTATCATTTTTAAGTAGCCTAAAGATAAATCAGATTTTATCGATTTTATTGCTAGGATTACAGTAATAAAGCGGAAAGTACAAAGAGCACGGCCAGTGGGGATAAACTAGCACAAAAGACACCTACAATGACTAACTTTATACCCAAGTCTGGTCAGTGCAARCGGAAACTCTTAGATTTGATACCAGAACCGCCTCCCTCCCCTTCACTCAGCATTCCATCTACTGACAATGTAAGAAGGGACTTCAAACGACCTCGCAGACTTACTACAGCAGACTCAACTCAAAAATATTGAAGATAGTATATTCAATGTGCTGGATTAAGKATGATATCTGATATTTTATTTTGATCCTTTGCCGCGGCAGTAAAGTCGGTTATTTGGCGATTAATTTTATCAAAAGAAGCATATCGTCGCCAGAATCATACAAAAATTCATCTCGTTTAGGAATTGAAATTAGTTTTGTTAGGGGTATTATAAGGTTAAAATAGTTAATTGAAAATATTTTTAATGGTATAGGAACAGTATGTAACGAGCTCTTTGAAAATGAATATATTATACGGTATATGAAAGACTATTTGTTAAAGTTATATAAAAGAGATTATTATATTTGCATAAAATTCAATAGAATAATTAAGATGTTGTATTTTTTTCTCCATTTTGTTTGATTTTACTAATCTGTTATCCGCGGGAGTCCTTGAATAGGGCAAATATTAAGAGCTTTAACTCACAGATAAAAAGAAATGAGTTGCTTTGAATCATRATTTGACCATTATTTTGGACATATATGAAAATGTTTTTGGGAAAACGTTTCTTGAATGAAAATCCCCCCGCAACACCTGGAAATACTATCTCGCTTGTGATTGGCTCAAACATCCTAACGAGATATTCCAATATGGCGGACTCATGAAAAAGGACGATTTGTTTTGACGACGGCATATTATGAAGTGTTTGCCTGTGACGACGTAGGTAGATATGATTTGCAAGAACGGAGTGCCAATAAAAGCTATGCCGAATATTCACGAGGGAGGTAAGTCGCTTTTTTGGTATCGAATCGTGCAAGAAACAGATTATTTTACGTGTTATTTTATTCATAAGTTTCTCACGATTCAAGAGATTGGCATAGGTTTATAGCTTTCGTGTTGGATTTAAACATTAAGAACTGAGTGTCAAGCGTTTGCTCTTTTCGCTGCTCTTTTCAAAGGCGGACATGCAAATTTCAACACGGAACTCAGAATCGCTATTAATATTATCAAAAGAACTTTAGTGTTTCGACAGTATTCATCTATAATTGTAAGCTTATAAACTCTGTAAGTTTATATTAATGTTTTTTGGACTGTTTTGTGTTTTTGCGTTCTAGCTTTTATTGGAGACATCAGGGAAGTGAATAAAGCACTTGAAAATGGACAGGTTAGTGAAAGACAAAGTATGAGTTTTACGATTAATCTAATGCAAAAGCCAACCTTTTACAGTAAAGACGGTTTTTTGATTTGGCGTGCAAGTAGTATATCCTTGTCCAAATAGCCCATTTATTCAAGTACTAAAAACGAGTTTGAAAATAACTTAAAATCTAAACGTTTTTATATTATTTTAAATTATACATTTTCCTCTAACCATAAGCTAATCTCATTTTTGAAGGCACTTACAAGGAAATTGGAATGATGTTTCAAATAAACATGACTTTTAATTAGTGAGCTTGTTGCTTTGGGGATAATCTTTAACATTTTTTTTTTCATTTTTTTTATTCAGCATAGTGTGCTCAAACAACCAAATACATTATGTTATATAAAGTCAAAGTACAACCCACTTAAAATTGAAATAGGTTTCTCTTGCTGACTTTATTTTAAAAAGCCATTTTCCTCTCCAGTGAAGATTAAGTCCTGATTTTATATTTTGGTGTCGTGTTTCCCATTAGTTATACTATATTTGTGTCTGATCTTCAAAGATAACCAACCATAATGGTCTTTTTTCTATCATGTTCACAATACATAAGTAATTGATATTAAGTCTGTCCAGCTGATCAACTTCTAGAGTTCATTTTGTCGGTATAGATGTTCCATATAGCATAAACAGCCGTATATTGATATAACAGAATTCAATAGAAACAAAAGCTCAAACAATGCAGAGCGGAAGTTAAAAGCTCCAATACAAAGAGAGCTAACTGAGAAAACAATCCTATTCAAAGGAAATCACTTTTCAACCAGGAAGCTCTTTTCTTTTGAATTTCACCTCTCCAAAGGATGTTTTTTTGATAAAAGTTTAGTATTTTACTTAAGTATTTTAACAGAGACAAAGTAGGTTCTATAGATTTAATGGATGTAGGAAGAACATAATTAAAACATCCTTTCAAAAATAAAAGTTGGCAAGTGTTATTGATCATTACGTGATTATGGTCATGTTCAAAAGCCAAAAGGTACACGTTCACGACATAAACCGGAAGTAACTTAGGAATTGAAAAATATTCTTTTTGAATTTAACAAGAAGCAAGAAAATGTACTTTTCCTACAGACA